TCCCTAAATGATATGGAAGAACAGAGAGTCTACTTCTAATTTGGGCTAGGAAGACACCAGCCACCTAGAAGTGAAAGCCCATTCCCTTGTTTTGTGAACACCAGGTAAGCTCAGAGCCATTTCGTACTATAGGTGCAGTCCCTGTGCTTGTAAGCTTTCCAAGAGCCTATGAAAATATTTGAAACCGGAAAAAAAAAGTATTGGCTCCAAAATATGAAAATAAAGTGGCAAAGTCAATCAAAATGCATAAATGTTTAAGCATCTATAAAATGTAACTTTGTGTCGACTATCACCCAACTGTTAAATAATAATAATAACATTTAAAACTTAAGAACCAAATTAATAACTTATTTATAGAAAAATTCAAAATGTATGCAAGTTTTAAATACCCTTTCAAATTTTTACAGCAAAAAAAGTATACTTATTACTTCATGTTAATATATTTGATATGGGGTGAAACTTACAAAAGTAAGATTGCTAAGGTCAACAAACGTATTTAAATGACTCTGTCTAAGCTCCTGGATTCTGATGCCACCCTAGGAGGGAAAGGGGCTCCAATCATGGCTAAGATAAAATTTTTGGAATGTATAGGAAATAAAGAGTGTGCTATTTATTGTATAATTGAGTTTGCAGAGTGAATGAAATCAATAGATTTTTGCTAAATGACTACTGTGTGTTAGGTGCTGTTCTTAGCCCTGAAAAAATAGGACAGGCATGGAAGGCTCCTGTGTCTGAGGAGCTCATATTCTAGTGGGAGAGACTGACATTAAAAAAAAAAAAACTACTGCAGATTGAGATAGTATTGTAAAGGACAAAGTGTTATGAGATAGTATATGAAGTGTGGAAGGAAGAGAGAAGGGGAAGAGAAGACTTTTGATTAATCAAATTTCAAAGCCCAAGCCCTATATGCCTCAAGATTATGAAATGGGGTTTACCCCTCCGTAATTGTATGGCACACTATTTACCTTTTAACTGTTGTCTTCTCCATTATGTGTCAGGCTCAGGATAATTTTAGGGAGTAGATTAAGCATCATTTACTTTTGCTCTCTTTTGGCTGTTGCTAAAAATTATTCTCATGAGGGTGTGGGATTTCTTTTTTTTTTTTTTTTTTTAATATTTATTTATTTGGCCGCACTGGGTCTTAGTTGTGGCATGTGGGATCTTTAGTTGCAGCATGTGGGATCTAGTTCCCTGACCAGGGATTGAACCCGGGCCCCTTGCATTGGCAGCACAGAGTCTTAGCCACTGGACCACCAGGAAAGTCCCTGGAACTTCTTGTAAACCCTGGCTCTGTAATAGCCAGCCCTGGGACACACCAAAGGGCATCTTACTGGGGACCCCATGAACCTATAGTGCCAAGGAAAGATGTCAAAATGAAGGAGAGGCAAAGGTGGTACAGTTGGGGGAAAAAATCAGAACTCAGTCACAGATCAGAATATTTTTACCAAGCTGAATAAAATGAAGCCACATGTGACAGCTTTCACTCCATAAACAAACTGAAATAAACTGCCTGACCCACTGGCTCACTTTGGATTCCAAGTTTCTGTTGAAAGTGAGTTTGGAAAGTGTAACTGCATCTCTTCCCTTTACTCTCTTATTTATAACCAGGTCTGGTATTTCACCCCAACCCAACCCAGCCCATATTCATTATGGTAAAATAATCTCAACACGTGGCTAAAATCTTGTGCTCAAGAAAAGATCCGTGATGTCATTTCTCACTTTGCACAGCCTCATTTATAAACTACCTCACTGAGCCGTGAAACTGGGAGAGCTCATGGCAAACCTGGCATTTAGCCTGAGCACCAGCATCGGAGTGCTTATGCTCCTAAGGCAGCCAATAGCCAGGCAAATAATAACGCAGGAAGAAATGAGAAAAACCGGTTGGTTTGGAAGAGCTCAACCCAAAACAGGATTCTGCCCACCTGAAAGCTAATTTGCCAAGCTGGCATCCTGCTTGCCACACAAGCTGTATGTTTAATGTGACATAGAGCAATTATGATTCCTTCTTAACCAAGAGTTTGTGGGTTTGGTGTTTTTTGTTTTTGTTTTTGTTTTTGCAGTACGCGGGCCTCTCCCGTTGCGGAGCACAGGCTCCGGACGCGCAGGCTCAGCGGCCATGGCGCATGGGCCCAGCCGCTCCGCGGCATGTGGGATCCTCCCGGACCGGGGCACGAACCCATGTCCCCTGTATCGGCAGGCGGACTCTCAACCACTGCGCCACCAGGGAAGCCCGTGGATTTGGTTTTTAAAGCAAGTAGCCCCTGGGCATACTGTCACTGCTCTGCAGGAGAAATTACTGAACGCACCAGTCATCACAGTGATGGGCATTCAACTGGCAGCCCTTCCTACCCACCAGCCACTCTATTGGTACAGTAATAAGAAGCCCTATGGTCACATGTCCAACGCTTCTGGCTGGGGTTCAGTTGGCTTCCTGAGGACTGGCAAGAAAGGCAATGAGTGGCACAGAGAGGCAAATGACAAAGTGAATGATGTTCTAACAAGATGTAGGAGCCTCAGCTTGTTTGGCTGCTTCTAGCATCCTGGCCCCAGACCAGGAAATGTGTGCGTGAGCATTATCTGCATCTGCCACGCCAGGTATCTCGCCTTCCTCTTTCGATATGAGTGAGAAATAAGAGGAGGGAAAGACACGTGGAGCTTCTTTTGTTCCTTGTTATTGCAGAGATCATAAACCTGGGTAGAAGAAACATGAAGCCAAGAGAAAGAAGCTGTTTCCCCCATTCGCCCCCACTCACTTTTCTGATTAGCCAATAGGTTACAATTTCAGAGTTAGGAGTGATTTTATAGATCTATTTTCTTATCTAGTCAGTATATTTTTCCTCTATGTGTTTATGACTTCTCTTCCGTTTGTCACTAAGCTGTTAACTCAAAAGTCCAGTTCCAGATTTCCCTGGTGGCGCAGTGGTTAAGAATCTGCCTGCCCATGCAGGGAACGTGGGTTCCAACCCTAGTCCGGGAAGATCCCACATGCCGAGGAGCAACTAAGCCCGTGCGCCACGACTACCGAGCCTGCAAGCCACAACTACTGAGTCCGCGTGCCACAACTGCTGAAGGCTGCGCGCCTAGGGCCTGTGCTCCACAACAAGAGAAGCCACCACAATGAGAAGCCCACGCACCACAACGAAGAGTAGCCCCCGCTCGCCGCAACTAGAGAAAGCCCGCGCGCAGCAAGGAAGACCCAACGCAGCCAAAAAAAACACAAAAGTCCAGTTCCTACAAACCTTGTTGCCTAGGAAAATTCATGAAAATACTCCTCCATAAAAGCCAACCAGAACTGTTTTCTAATACTTGATTCTAGAAAAGGACCTTTGCTCAAAAAGCAGTATCCTATATGGAATGGGAATAATTCCCCTAAAAGAAACAACTAGAATTCCTTGGATCGAGATAATTCTCCAAAGAGAATCCTAGCTACTAATCATAATTGTAATCATCATTAGTTGTCACAAAAAATATTTACTGAGCATCTCTCTGAGCCTTGTACTATGCTAGATGTTACTTAAAAAAAGAGTTACCTTTGTGGATGGACCTCAGAAGTATTATGCTCTCTGTCGATTTGACAGAGAAAGACAAATACTGTATGTTATCACTTATATGTGGAAAAAAAATAAATGAATGTATAAAACAAAACAGAAACAGACTCACAGATATAGAAAACAAACTAGTGGATACCAGTGAGGAGAGGGAAGGAGGGAGGGGCAAGATAGGGCTATAGGGTTATGAGATACAAACTCTGTGTGTAAGCAACAAGGATATATTGTACAACAGGGAAATATAGCCATTGTTTTGTAATAATGTGAAAGGGAGTATAATCTATAAAAATATTAAATCACTATGCTGTACACCTGAAACTAACATAATATGGTAAATCAACTATATTTCAGTAAATAAACAATAGAGTTACCTTTGACAATAAGGTGAAAGTCCTTGGTCTTCGTTTCCATAAGTGAATTTGCAATACAGCTGTAGGTTCCGTTGTCAGATTTCTTGACTTTGGTGATTGACAGTTGAAGATACTCACTTGTCTGTTGGATTTGGTGATGTTTTTTCTCTAAATTCAAGAAGCCACTGTTTTTGTACCACATCATTTGAGCCTGGGGGTTGGATTTCACATTGCAAACCAACTTCACATCACTGCCTTCCTCAGCTGTTTGGAAGTCGTTTCCACTTAGGAGAGGAGGAACTGCAAGACGCAAGCATTTAAGTTTAATTAGCGAATAAGCAGTAGTTTATTGCCAGTGTTCAAGATGTCCCTTCAGTCTATCTCATGTAGTCATTCATTTATTTGACAAAAATTTATTGAGTGCCTACTGTATGGCAAGCACTGGGCTAGGAACCAGGGGTACAATGGTAAATAACATACATCCATTTTCAAACTTAATAGCACTTTTAATGTAGTGGGGAAGACAAACCATGAAACAAATGTATATAATAATGAATCTGTATTAAGTAAACAATTTGTAACGCATGGAACAATAACCATACTTGCCCTGGCCAGAGATTTACCAGTGCATATTTGCATTTTCTCAATGATCTTCTAGAAATAACGTCCTTCTATCAGAAGGCACTCCAATCGTGGCAACTCTGGCATCCATGGAAGGTGAGCATAACCTTGAGTCCCTCTCAACCTTCTGTGTGAGCAACTTCTTATTCCCGTCATGATAAGGACATCTGTAGACCCATAGATTGTCAAACACATTTATCTTCACCAAATGATTCCAACCCTTACTACCACCAGGGCTTTCCAACATCTGGGGGAGAAATGGCTGAACTGCCTCTCCTCTCTGCTCCATGCTCCTTGCATTTTTTGGCCAGGGTACAGAAGAGTAATAAAATGCATGAAAAGTGGGCAGTAGGAAAGAGATAGATGCAGAGAAGGAGGGAAAAAAGGAGCTTGTATAATCTGCACACTGAATAATTAGACCCTGAGTAGGCTGTGCTATTAATAGCTCTCTCAGAAGAATGACATTTTATTGCTCTTTGGAATGTGTTTGAATTCTGTATTCATGTCCAACAAGAATGTTATATGGTATTCAGATAGTTGTTCCTTTTTATTTAACTATTTAAAATTAATTTTTAAGCATATCGGCTCTACATGAGCATTCCCTTTTAAAAGTATTAGTACATTTCAGATAAAGTTAAAGTCCTCCTTGACTCCATCCTGGTCACTTCCTGATTCCCGCAGAGACACCCAGTGCTATGAGTTTGATGCAAATACTTGCAGATCTTTTTTTTTTATTAGTATTTTAAAAATACATATGATATTCCCATAGGAAATATATTGTATTGTTCTAGGAGGGTGAGAAGTGTTTACGTAAAAGACTTCACTCTCTCAACAATTGCACGCTTTGAGATATATTCATGTTGAACCACAGAATTCCAGCTTATTGCTTTTAGAGTGCTATAGTATAATATCTGACTCTTTAATTATTTTATTTTGATGAGCATCAGGTTATTTTCATTTTAAAATGCTAAACAGTGCTTCAATAAACATCCTTGTAAAAAAATGAATGGGCTCAGGACAGACCCCTGTGTAGTGGCTATAATCTAAAGACTAAAAGCAAAAGCAAGGAGAAAAGTGTGACCAGATGTTTAGCAAATATTTAAATATAATCTAAAAGGAAAAGTCAAAAAAATCCTTGTATATGTCTCTGTATTCATATGTGCATGTATTTCTCCAAGGTTAACATCTCAAAGCAGAGACGCTGGGTCATAGAGTAGGTGCACTTTAAATTTTGATAGATATTGCAAAAGAGGTGGTCTCAATTTATACTTTCAGCAACAACGTATAAAAGAAGTTTCTGCACACCCTCCTCAAATAGTGTATTATCAAGTTTCCATTGAGTTCTTGGCCTGCCATTTATAACAATAATCTATAATACTTTATATGATATTCTTGTCACTTTATGACCTTATCTTGATTTATTGATTGATGAGTTTGTGTCAGTTATTGTCACTATGAATCACTGACCAATTGGTTTTTTTTCTATATATGTGCAACGATGATAACATTAAATGTGGAATCAGGCTGGGAAACTGAAAATCATTTTTTTAAGCCACTGAATCATATTATCGGCATTTCTACTGTGTCTCTCTTAAGAAGGTTACAATGGGAAGAGCACTAGATTAGGAGCCTGGGGATTTGTGTTCTGTTCTCTGCTCCAGATGTGATAATTAGGGCCTTCATTCTGGGCCTCAGTTTCCTTGTCCGTCATTTTATAAGGATTACAAAAGCTCCAAGGTATGCTGATAGTGTTGGATTCTACCAAAGTTGCCAAGAGATAGCTTGTTAAAAATCACATCTTATCAATTCATAGGAAATAAAAAGCAAAGCTCCTTTGCCCAGAAACATGTAAATGATTCACTCTGGAAGCCCAAGCTGCAGGATGCCAGCATATTCCAGCACTGGATTCCTTGGCATTTTTCCCACCCTTTTATCTCAGGAACAATGGCATCAGTTTTTCACAGAAAAGTTTGCTGAGCTCATGGGATCAAATGGCTTTGACATTTTATTACTAGGTTCCAAGTCCAGAGATCTTTCTACCAGACCACACCATATTATCACCCTTACTCACATCACCCCTCACCACACTATCCACACCCCGCTCACATAGAACCAGTTTTCCACCCAAACCACCTACGTGACCACCTCCATAGACTCATTCGAAGGACGACTAACCTCAGATAGTTCCACCAATGGCTTACCAGTACCTGGAACCCAAATGTCAAAGAGCTTCACCTTTGAGGGTTTAAGGTGATGTTAAAAGATTCCCAGTGAATATCTAAGTAGAACACAAAAGCTAGAAAAACGTTTAAGAAAGAAAAGATTGGTAATTTTAAATACACAAACATTTAAAATTTCAATATGGCAAAAAGAAGTACTATTTTAAAATGTCAAAAATAAATAGACGGAATACTTAGCATTCAAAACGACAAAAGGCTAATTTCCTTAATGTACAAAGCGCTTATACAAATCAATAAGAAAAAGGCAAATAACCCAATAGGAAAATGGGTAAAGGACATGAGCAAGCATTTTGCAGACAAGAACCATGAAAAGCTAATGCATTTACGAAAAGGTGAACACCCTCATTCCTGATTTAGAAAATGAAAATAAAATTTCAAGTCAGGCTGGTAGATTCTTAGAGCTTGAGGATACTCAGGCTCATGAGGGTGTGGGAAACAGGCACCCTCATGCAATGTTGTGGGATCATAAATAGGGCAATTGGGCAGTATCAAGGAAATGTTAAAATACATGTACTCTTTAGACCCAGATTTCATCTACCACTTAGTGTAGTACAGGCAACACAGACTAACTAGCAGTTTCTTTCCCCTCACTCACAAGTGACATTCAGCACCACTGAGATGGACATTGACTGGTTCCTCCTCAGCTTGCAGGTAAAGGTGATGCCGTTGTCATTTTCACTGATGGAAGTGACACAGACAGAGCTTGAGTTGATTTTGTTTCCAGATTTCAAATCCACTCTCCCATCTTCGCGGTACCAGAGAATTTCTTCTTCTCTGGTATGGTTTTGAACAGCACAGTTCAGAGATTCTTTGAAGCCAGGCTCAGTGTCCAGAATATAGTTTTCAGTTTTACCATTCACAGTTAAAACAGAACCTGGGAGTGCAGGAAGAAACTATTAAGATAGAGTGAACAATCTAAATGACCATAATTAGAGAATTGGTTAAATATATTACATCAGTACAATGAAATGCTCTGCAATGATTAAAAATAGTAATATTGAGCTATGCGATTTTACAAGGAAAAGATCGAAAAGGATTATTAATTTAAAAAAGGAAAAGGTTAAAAAATAATGGTTACCAAATTTTGCTGCACATTGGAATCATCTGGGGATCTTCAAAAACGTACTGATGCCTGGCTCCCACCCCCAGACGTTCTGACTAATTAGTATTAGTGTAACCTGGGCACTGGGGTTTTCAAAAAGCTCCCAGGTGATTCTAGTATGCAGAGAAGTTTGAGAACCACTGGGTTAGAAAACAATATGTATGGAATTACCCCATTTATACACACACATACACATATACATATATATATATATGTATACATATATATGTATGGACAAGTCTCGGGAAAGTCCTATCTATATATTGACTAGGATTGATAAAAGTAGAGAAAACGGTGGAGAAATAGTGACCAGATCTAAATTGTTTATTTCAAGTGCTTGGAAATAGAATAGTAAGGGGATGGGAGTGGGGAAATACAAAGGAGAAAGAAAGAGCAAAATGGAAAAATATTTAAGACATAATATTAGGTGAATAGGCAGAATGTAAAGTATGTCTCTAACAATTCCTATAAATATATCAAAATTGAATATGCATATGAACAAAAGCTAATTTGAAAACATTTTTGATTAGATGATGGGATTATAGACAAATTTGGTTTTGTATATCTGATGTTTCACTATTATACTGACCGTGTAGTAAAATAAGATGTTTAAACATCTGTGGTTTGTGTGGTAAAGTTGTTGTGGGGCGTATGATCAGGATATATAGCAGTTAATTTTTACCTCTGATTTTTAGAAATCCATTGTAACATACCTAAATTTCAGTTTGTACTTTTCCTCATTTCGAAGCAAGTAACAAAGCTAAAAAATGACTTTAGCTGCCACAAACTTGCCCCCTATGTATCATTTGTTAATATATTCTGTAAATGCATTAACTTTTCCTTTAAAAAGCATGAACTACTGGTGATTGCTGCCTAGCATTTTTTTAAAACCTGGAAGAATATACATCAAAATGTTGAGTGGTTATCTCTTGATGATGGGATTTGGGGGGATTTTTACTTTTCTTTATTCTTTTATATATTTCCTAACTTATATTACAGTGACTGCTTATCACTTTTTGAATCAAGAAGGAAAAAGGTATTTCCAGGTTGGGGTGGGGAGCAAACATAGAAAAGATTTTCGTGTATGTTGTATGCTCAAATAAAGAGCAGAGGTTTATTTTAGGTATGATTAGTAATGAAATGCATTAAAATGTAGGAAAATTCTGGCTGTGGCTCTGGAGAGAATAAAATATTTCACCCTGTCTTATAATATTAGAACCATAAAAATATTTTTCCGCTTAATTTTTCACTATTTTATCTGACTTCTGTACTCTGAGCCATACCAACTGTGTAATCATTCCAGTTTGGATTTTGTATTTTCCCAAAGCCCCCAATCATTTTATAATCTGAAATTTTCTTTATTTAAAAAGAAACACAAAAGTATTAACTTACATGTCATCTCATGTGGCAGAAATAAAATCACTAAGAGAAGAAATCTGTACATTGGCATTAGGCTGCTGGTCTTCCATGCCATGTTTAATGAATTTAAGTCTGATCTGCTGGGGGAAAAAGAGTGCATTTGGTTCTGCACTTTGGTCTACACTGAGCTTATGAACCTTCCTCTTGTCTATTATATATTTAAAATAAAGTCCCAGATGAGTCATCCCAGTTATAATGGTACTATTTCTAGTTTTTAATTAAACAATCTTGTTCTGACTACTAAGTTCAAAGTACTTCTAGTATTAGGGTATTTTTTTTTTCTTCGGTACGCGGGCCTCTCACTATTGTGGCCTATCCTGTTGCGGAGCACAGGCTCCGGACACACAGGCTCAGCGGCCATGGCTCACAGGCCCAGCCGCTCCACGGCATGTGGGATCTTCCCGGACTGGGGCACGAACCCGTGTCCCCTGCATTGGCAGGTGGACTCTCAACCACTTCGCCACCAGGGAAACCCGTGTTAGGGGTTTTTTAAAAGACAGCAAAACACGAAACCACAAGGAAATAGGCCATAAAATAGAGGGCAGCTACAGAGCAGCCCCGGGGAAGGTGAAACCAGTCTTCCCTAGAGACATTGATAGAATGTCATTTTAACAGTAAGAAAAGTGAAATTTCCTTTCTGCTCAGATAGCCTCCGCTGAACAAAGTAATTCTTGTCTTGAAAGCCTCTCTTGGGTCATTTTTCATAAAGCTGCTCTCTGCTAATAGAGGGTTTTTGAAACTGTTCCAAATCACATAGATTCAAATGGTTTGTGCCTTAGAAAAGACTCAGTTCGAACATGACCTCTAGCCTTTTTTTTTTTTTTTAAGATTTATTTATTATTTATTTATTTAATTTATTTTTGGCTGTCGGGTCTTAGTTGCAGCACACAGGATCTTGGTTGTGGTGCGTGGGCTTCTCTCTAGTTGTGGCACGCAAGCTTAGTTGCCCCACGGCATGTGGGATTTTAGTCCCCTGACCAAGGACTGAACCCACGTTCCCTGCATTGTAAGGCAGATTCTTTACCACTGGACCACCAGTGAAGTCCCAGCCTCAAGCTTTAAACCACACCATGCTGCTGCCTAGGTAAACATTATCTTCCTTAAAGAAACTTTTCTTAATCCCTTCCTGTCCCTGTCCACTCCAAAGACCTCAGCAACTTGGAGTTTTGTCCTCTTAACACAAATATAAATCCTCAAGAGCTGGAACATACCTATGACTTTTGGGGGCTGGCTCTGCTCCTCCCCATGCCAGGCCTGTCCTGCCAGGAGCAAGTTTCATTCCTGCCAGGCTCACTCTTTCTGGCTGGCATGTCTTCATCAATCTTTCAGTAAGATACTATTAGAAATAATATTGATTCTTTTATAATTTAAAAATTTTGTCAGTAAGATTTCCAATACAGCACTGTTAACAGTGATGATTTCAGAATTTGGTCATTAATAGAGTTTTCTCAAGCACTATCCACTGTAGATGCTTAGTAAACAGTGAGAGTGTGGGCTTCTTTGCAGACCTCACCCTACCCTGTTAAGGAGGATGATTGCTGTCTCCCTTTCTCTTCCACCCCATTAAGACAACAGCTTTTCAAAATGAATTTCTCTCGCTTGATTTGTTTTTAATTTTCATGACTCTCTACTTTCTATACAAGACAAAGTCTTACCACTTACCCACTGAGCTCTGAAAGCTGACTTCCTTGGCCATCGTTCCTCCGTCTGGGAACCCTGAATCCTTTTCCTGCTACCATCTTTATAATACTTGAATTTGAACACTTTATGACAGTAGGGTCAAGTAAATAAGATACATTGGGTTCAAAGTCTGTTTCTCTTTGTGGATTCTTAGAGAAGACAGTAATTGGGAAAGGCATCTTCTTAAGATCCAAGTTTTTCTGTGTACTTAAGTTACTGGGTGGGGCCAGGTATTACTAACAAGGATGTAATTGTTCCAAGAAAGCCTGACCTTGTGCAAAAATTGTAGCACATCTCACTGAGAGTTGTCATGCTCAAGTTAGATGACTGTGCTTGATAATCTGACAGCCTGAGAATTGTGATAGGGGAAGTCTGAGGGGAGTCTGATTTTCATAGTGGAAGATTCCACACAACTTAAATAATGCTGGAAAAATATTACTTACCACTGGCAACCGAAGTGTAGTATATAAGCTGTGCTAAGACAGGCATGGCAGGGGAAAGTTTTATCCTTTTGAGGCTCTCAACTGACTGGGAATCCTTGCTTTACACTTTCAAGAATTAGTAATTTGAAGATAACATTTTTATTTATTTATTATTTATTTATTTTTTATACAGCAGGTTCTTATTAGTCATCAATTTTATACACATCAGTGTATACATGCCAATCCCACTCTCCCAATTCAGCACACCACCATCCCCACCCTCCCACGGCTTTCCCCCCTTGGTGTTCATATGTTTGTTCTCTACATCTGTGTCTCAATTTCTGCCCTGCAAACCGGTTCATCTGTACCATTTTTCTAGGTTCTACATATGTGCGTTAATATACGATATTTGTTTTTCTCTTTCAGACTTACTTCACTCTGTATGACAGTTTCTAGATCCATCCACATCTCTACAAATGACCCAATTCTGCTCCTTTTTATGGCTGAGTAATATTCCATTGTATATATGTACAACATCTTCTTTATCCATTCATCTGTCGATGGGCATTTAGGTTGCTTCCATGACCTGGCTATTGTAAGTAGTGCTGTAATGAACATTGGGGTGCATGTGTCTTTTTGAATAATGGTTTTCTCTGCATATATGCCCAGTAGTGGGATTGCTGGGTCATATGGTAATTCTATTTTTAGTTTTGTAAGGAACCTCCATACTGTTCTCCATAGTGGCTGTATCAGTTTACATTCCCACCAACAGTTCAGGAGGGTTCCCTTTTCTCCACACCCTCTCCAGCATTTGTTATTTGTAGATTTTCTGATGATGCCCATTCTAACTGGTGTGAGGTGATACCTCATTGTAGTTTTGATTTGCATTTCTCTAATAATTAGTGATGTTGAGCAGGTTTTCATGTGCTTCTTGGCCATCTGTATGTCTTCTTTGGAGAAATGTCTATTTAGGTCTTCTGCCCATTTTTGGATTGGGTTGTTTGTTTTTTTAATATTGAGCTGCATGAGCTGTTTATATATTTTGGAGATTAATCCTTTGTCAGTTGATTCGTTTGCAAATATTTTCTCCCATTCTGAGGGTTGTCTTTTCGTCTTGTTTATGGTTCCCTTTGCTGTGCAAAAGCTTTTAAGTTTCATTGGGTCCCATTTGTTTATTTGTATTTTTATTTCCATTACTCTAAGAGGTGGATCAGAAAAGATCTTGCTGTGATTTATGTCAAAGAGTGTTCTGGCTATGTTTTCCTCTAAGAGTTTTATAGTGTCCGGTCTTACATTTAGGTCTCTAATCCACTTTGAGTTTATGGTGTTAGGGAGTGTCCTAATTTCATTCTTTTACATGTAGCTGTCCAGTTTTCCCAGCACCACTTATTGAAGAGACTGTCTTTTCTCCATTGTATATCCTTGCCTCCTTTGTCATAGACCATAGGTGTGTGGGTTTACCTCTGGGCTTTCTATCTTGTTCCATTGATCTATGTTTCTGTTTTTGTGTCAGTACCATATTGTCTTGATTACTGTAGCTTTGTAGTATAGTCTGAAGTCAGGGAGTCTGATTCCTCCAGCTCTGTTTTTTTCCCTCAAGACTGCTTTGGCTATTTGGGGTCTTTTTTTTTTTTTTTTGTGGTATGCGGGCCTCTCACCGCTGTGGCCTCTCCCATTGTGGAGCACAGGCTCCGGATGTGCAGGCTCAGCAGCCATGGCTCACAGGCCCAGCTGCTCCGCGGCATGTGGGATCCTCCCGGACCAGGGCATGAACCCGCGTCCCCTACATCAGCAGGCAGACTCTCAACCACTGCGCCACCAGGGAAGCCCCTATTTGGGGTCTTTTATGTCTTCATACAAATTTTAAGATTTTTTTGTTCTAGTTCTGTAAAAAATGTCATTGGTAATTTGATAAGGATTGCATTGAATCTGTAGATTGCTTTGGGTAGTATAGTCATTTTCACAATATTGATTATTCCAATCCAAGAACATGGTATATCTCTCCATCTGTTGGTATCATCTTTAATTTCTTTCATCAGTGTCTTATAGTTTTCTGCATACAGGTCTTTTGTCTCCCTAGGTAGGTTAATCCTAGGTATTTTATTCTTTTTGTTGCAGTGGTAAATGGGAGTGTTTCCTTAATTTCTTTTTGAAATTTTTCATCATTAGTGTATAGGAATGCAAGAGATTTCTGTGCATTAATTTTGTATCCTGCTACTTTACCAAATTCATTGATTAGCTCTAGTAGTTTTCTGGTGGCATCTTTAGGATTTTCTATGTATAGTATCATGTCATCTGCAAACAGTGACAGTTTTACTTCTTCTTTTCCAATTTGTATTCCTTTTATTTCTTTTTCTTCTCTGATTTCCATGGCTAGGACTTCCAAAACTATGTTGAATAACGAAGATAACATTTTTAATTGGTTAAAAATACATGTGTTTATGATATCACTTATATATGGAATCTAAAATATGACACAAATGAACTAATCTACGAAACAGAAATAAACTCACGGACATAGAGAAGAGACTGTGGTTGCCAAGTGGGAGGAGAGAGGCAGAGAGATGGATTGGGAGTTTAGGGTTAGTAGTTGTAATTATATATAGAGTGGATAAACAACACGGTCCTACTGTATAGCACAGGGAACTATGTACAATATCCTGTGATAAACCATAATGGAAAAGAATATGAAAAAGAATGTGTATATATGTATAACTGAGTCACTTTGCTGTACAGTAGAAATTAACACATTGTAAGTCAACTACACTTGGATAAAATAAATTTTTAAAAATACATGTTTATGGTGTTGTTGCAACATGAATTTTATCTGGCAAGTACTGTTGTTCCCATTCATGCAAGAATAGAATAAAAAATATTTATGGTCATCTGTACATTTTAATACATTGGTTAAGAACACCAGAGATATGCTCCTTGCTAGCTGTATGACTTCATAAAGCTTTTTACTTCTAGGGTCCTCAGGTTCTTCATCAATACAATGGGAGTAATAATTGTGCCCTCCCTACAAGGTCACTTGAGGATTAAATGAAATAAAGCATGTGAAGCAGCCACACAGTAAGCTCTTATTAAGCAGTAGCTATTATTATTATTAATATAGGCTGGGCAGGGCATAATAAATAAACACAGCCTCACTATAGCATTCTTCCAGTAAGAATCATAACTAAGAGCATTTCCTGTTGACCGGGTTGCAAGCACCATCTAAGCAGGTTTTGAGTTTGCTTCTGTATGGATCTAAGGGCACTGTGTTTTGCTATCATTTTAAAGATTTTTACATTTATTTATTTATTTTATTTATTTATTTTTGGCTGTGTTGGGTCTTCATTGCTGCGCGCGGGCTTTCTCTAGTTGCAGCGAGCAGGGGCTACTCTTCGTTGCGGTGTGCGGGCTTCTCATTGCGGTGGCTTCTCTGGTTGAGCAGCATGGGCTCTAGGCGCACGGGCTTCAGTAGTTGTGGCACACAGGCTCAGTAGTTGTGGCTCACGGGCTTAGTTGCTCCGCGGCATGTGGTATCTTCCCAGACCAGGCATGTGGTATCTTCCTAGACCAGGCCTTGAACCCGTGTCCCCTGCATTGGCAGGTGGATTCTTAACCACTGTGCCACCAGGGAAGCCCTTGTTCTCATTTTAAAATGAACTTAGCAGAGGATTGATGTCTTGGTTCTGGGTCCCTCCAAAGCAGACCTGAAGATAAAACTTTGCATGCAAATAGTTTATTTAAAGGTGATCTCAGGAAGCACAGTAAGGAAGTGAGATAGGGAAGGAAGGAAAACTAATAAAGGATGTGTTAATGAACAGGTTACTATGGGCGACTGTTGCTGTGGACCCTTTGACAAGCTCTGTGGAATACACCTCAGAATCAACTCATGCGGGGGAAGGAAGCTTGAGCATCTATCTACCAACTTTCCTCCATCATTGGTTAAGGGGCACTTTTGGGGTGTTGACTCCCCAGCACTTCCAGCCCACCCTGTGAAGGCAGAGTGCACTCTCTTGGTCTGGCTGCGAATGTCCAGGCAGACCCTCAGGAAGTCATACGGGAATTGTTTGCGGGTGACCTCTAGGCAGGCCAAGGGGATGTGAGTAGGGCACCAACCTCAACTTCTACAAGTGGGTATTAGGTGGTTAGGAAATAACGGTTAATTACTCTTAGGTGTGATAATGGTATTGTTGTTATATAGGAGAATGTTCTCATTCTTAAGAGATGCCTACTGAAATATTTGTGTGTCACAGTGATTGCAACTAACTTTCACATGATTCAGCAAAAATAAATAAACACACTCACAAAACAAATACAGCAAAATGTTAACATTGACTGAATCTAGAGTCTAGGTAGTGGTCTATAGATATTCATTGTACTATTCTTTCAACTCTTCTGTATGTTTGACATTTTCATAAATAAAATGTTGAGGAAAAGTATTTAGTATTTATTGAGTGTCTGCTATGTGCTGAATACTCTAAGCGATGGGGTTGCCAGTCCCATCCAAACCAAGATGGTAGCTTTGTCATGAATTAGTAAGACTTGGCTTTTCAAGTCACTCTCCTGCCATCTGTGGAGAACTGTTTTAATAACTATACAATGGAT